ACATCCATCTCTGTGTTTTCAATTCCCCAAAACATTCATTTTGCATTTGAAGTTTTCCTGTCCTTGCATGAACATGATTTTCTCTGAGTAACAAGGATACTTTTAAGGATTTTAAGTCTTCCCCCACTGGTCCTTCATCCTGTATGGATGACTATAAGCATAAATATCACTGCTGGAATATTTTCTTTATGAACTTTTTAGTATTTTTCCTGGAAAAATAATTGGACTAAAAAAATTATTTCTGATTTTATCATCTTAGGGAAACTGCTCTGCTTCATTGCAATATAATGGCATTACTTTTTATTTATTTATGTGTGATCAACTACAAAATCACCAGTAATAAAAGTACAATTAAAAGCTTCCTTCCTCAATATCTTTGCTCTTTTTGAATCTCTGGTCATTATATTTGTTGAATTTCATGATAAAAAGAAGATTGCAATTTTTACTCCTATTAGTATCACAGAGCCCGAGTAGTGAGCTGAACTGCTATTGAATGCATTAATCCTCCAATTATCATTTGAAGTACAGGTAAATTTTTCAATATGTATTTGAATAAATGTAGCTGCTATTTCTACAGCTGCATATACATTTGGTATTGGGAAGTTGTATTATCTGAGAAATGATTTTGAAAAATACACTTCTAAACAATTTTATATTTATACAGACAGGAAAACCGAAGAGCCATATTTAACATTAATTTTGTTTTCTTCATTTTTCTGGGTGAACTTCAGGCCACAGTGAGATTAATAACAAAATATACCTTTACTATGGTGAGATCAGGATTTCATCTCATATCCTTCAGTGCTTAACCTAAAATTATATTTCCATGTGGTATTTTATTAGTTACTATAAAGAGTATAATTCTGACATACAGTATTTATTTATAGAGTTCTGACTGCATTTCTCTGTAATATGAAGTATTTTTAAAAGTTGGTGAATATTTTATAGAGGAAGATAAGCATGAATGCCGTGAAAACAAACCTGTTTGTAGGTAGGTATTGCCAGGAGAAAATATGGAGGATGTGCACACTCAGTTGTTTATATAAGAAACTAATTTCTACTTTAGGCATCACTCATGTAGACTTTCCGTTTCACAGAAAATGTGAAAGGTAAGATAATAAATCTGGGAAAATGTAGAGCTAAGAAGAGTGGTTAACTTTGGTTTGGTTTGAGCTATGTGTGGCTGAAGTGATGCAGGGGAAGATGGGTTGATGAAAGTGAAATTGAGCAGCCTGGGGTAGAAGCATTCTCCTGGTGGTAATACAGTGCCTTTTTATTTGTTTTTTTTTTCATTTCCCAAGTCCAATTCTTGCATCCATTCAGGAGCTCTGCTGTGGCTTGTGCCTTCAGGTCATGCCTTGCATGGCTCAAAGGCCCCTCATCAAGGGTGGCCTGTGGCTCTGAGTGAGACCCCAAAGTGTCTCATCCAGGCATCTTTGGCCAGAAGCAGTGTGGAAATTCACTTAGATATGAGAAGTGGGCTGAAGCTTTAAAGAGAGAGGAACAAACAGCACTGAATGCATTGGACAGTCTTGCAAAACTCTGCTCATTTTTGGTAAATGAAATGTCTGAAGGAGAGTGGGAATTTAAGGAGTGGAATTCAAGTATTTTTTTTCCAAATCTCATATATCCAGTTTCTCAGCAAGATCCATACAAGTGCCTAGGGAGGCAACGTCTGGTTCTTAAAGAAAAAAAGTCTGTATGGAGTTAGAACATACTGTTGAGTAACTTAAAATAATGAAGTTCTGGAACATCAAAGTTTTGAGCAAATTAAAGTTCCACAACTGGACACAGTCTAAAGAATTGGCATCTTTGAACTAATAGATTTCATATAATGAAAGAGAAATATTGACTAGCAATGATAACAGTGACAGTATGGTGTAGGAAAATGCCCTTTCTTGGCAGATCTGAATCAACATGATGCATTTTTCAGCATGTATAGAATTGAACAGTTGGGTTGGTTTGGTTGGGAGAATGCTCCAGCCCAAATATGTTATTCATACTGATTACATTTGCATATGAGTCACATTCATTTTTTAATTTGCCAGATGTCCATTTATGTTTGTTTAAATGATGAGATCATTCCATGAAGTGAACAGGACCTAAAAATATAGAGAAGACTGTTTGCAAAAGTAAAATTTAAAATATCTTATAAGTTTTCCCATTTGTGGTATATTATGCAAGCAGGAGCACTGTAATGTGGAGGCACTCTTCAAAAAGCTGTGTCCCTTGCTAGTAGTTCATTAAACAATATATTATTTTACAAAGCTTCATTTGTTTTCTCTCCCAGCCAAGCCAATTTTCCCATTAACAAGTATGTTCTCCTTCTGAATACATTCAAATGTACCATTTTCAAAGCCAGCTTTATTTGTTGCTTCTTTCTGTATGTGAAGATCCCAAGTCTTTCTGGACTGTTTTGTCATTTACTGTAGCATGGAAGATTTTTAGAATGTCCTGTTCAAGGCAATGACCAAACAAGGGGGAACTGAATTCTCAAGTTTTATGTTACTGCATTTACAAAAACTTTTAACAAGGAGTAAACTTTCCTTATGCACAAATGGAGACTACCAACTAACCACTTAAGTTCAACAAAGGCTCTTCAAATGGCGACTTAAATCATTTGAGACTTTTAAATCTTGCTCAAGCCTGAAGGTTTGTTCGTGCTGCAGGTAATCTCTACACACATTAAACATTTACTTTAGTACTTGGTGAAATAAATTTAATCCTAGACAATTTGAGATTGCAGCCTTGGTAAAGAAAGTTAACAGCAGCATATCAGAGCACACATCTGGTGAGCTTCTCTAGTCTCTTCAAAGCAGAATTTGCAAGGATAGGCTGGAAGAAAAGAAAATGGAGAGTTTAGCCAAAGCTCCTGGTCAAAGCTCAACTGTCTAGGGGTATAATGATATAATATGCAATAAAAGGAAACCACTAAAATTCAGTTTCATGCTGAGTTTCTACAATATACCTACCAGAAGTAAGAGAATCTGATGACATAATGTGAGAATTATATTAAATAGAGAAAGAGATATCTCATGTTCTTTCTTAACATGCAACAGATGATATTATGTGAAATGTGCTCTATCTGTCCATTCATTCTCCAAAGAAATATGGATTGCGAGCTCACAAAAAAAAAAAAATCTGCAAGCTTCCCCATGCAAAATGTTTTGGTCCAGAAGATACAAAGCAGGCAAGATTCTTTTCAAATCAGAGAAAATGCACTAGCACAACACTTGGTTTTTTTGTCCATTTGTTCCAGACTCTTCCAGATCCATCTTCTTTAGAGATTAGTTTGCTGTTTCTTCCACTTTCTTGTCAGTAGTTGCTGTTACTTGAATATATCAAGAACAGACTTTTCTGACATTTATTTGAACTAGATCTGCTTTAAAATCTGTTGTAAATCAGTGGGCTAGGTTCTCATCCGGCTGTGTATGGAGCCCTAATGCCTGCTTTTGCAGAGAGGTGGAAAATTTTGAACAGCTGAAAATTTGCAGAAGTAGAAACACAGCCAGACCAGGTTGGATGGGGCTCTGAGCAACCTGGTGCAGTGGAAGGTTGGAACTGGATGATCTTTAAAGTCCCTTCCTACCCAAACCCTCCTGTGATTCTATGCTTCTGTTACTGAAGGAAAGTTTTATGATTGTGTGGTGTGTAGAAAATACATGTGTGTTCTGCTGGTGACTAGATTTGATACATTCATCTCTGTTGAAAGAAATTGCCAAAATATTCTAACTACGTGGTTTTGCATAAATTAGAGGAACTCATGGAGCAGAAAAGCACAGGGTCATAAAAATGTAAAACATGTTTCCCTTTGTATATTAAATCACATCGCTGCAACTTTATCCTGAGTGCATTTTCAAAGAGAAGTGGGAAGCTGTCACTATCCTTGCCTTGCATTCTGTGTTGATATTTTTTAAAATAGTCCATCTGTTATAAAACAAAATGTGCATTCAAGTGACTGTTAGAGCAATTAGCTGGACTGCTGATTGATAAATAGATCAGTTTTTGTTGAAAGCTGTATTTAAAGCTGTGAGTACGAGATATATGAGTCAGGATATATTTTTTGAAAAACCTTCCCTTTTCCATTGCATATGAACTTGTGCAAAATAATCTGACAGAAGTGCTGACTTCTTCAAAATTCCATTACTTCCTTTCCCTTGAGTGACATAACTTTTATGCCATATTAGCCTTGTACCTCCACCTTTCATTCTCACCTTGTGTTGTCATTATATGGGTATTTAGTTGAATTTGGGACGACTAGAGGATAGTCAGATTGAAAACATCTCTCAGTTGTGATAATATTTGTTTGACATCTGGAATTCAACATTCAAGTGGAAGGAATTTTGCAGTGCATTTTATGTATTAATTAACGTTCAAAAATTCAACTGCTTTTCAGTAAACCATATTTTTGTCCTTTATATGATATAACCTGCCAAATCTTGCTCTGGTGTACATATCTTTTTTGGTGGAGAAGATTGGTTATACTGCAAGGATATATTTATATATGTAGAGTTTGGCATTAGGGAATAGAATTTAGGAACAAGCAAAGTAAATAGCAAATATGTTGACTTTTTCCTCTGGGAACTACTTAAACATGTTGCCATTTAAATTACTAGTAGGCTTTGAATTTTTGAATATGCAGTCATATGTAGTGATCACTTTAAAATTGAAGTAGTATTTTTTATAAAAGCAACAGTTGTAATTTCTGTGGGGATTTACCTAGCATGGCAGTTAAGCTCTTTAGCATTCTCAAATAGATTGTGTAGAATTTGACAGCTTTACAGTTTCTTTTAGCTTTGTATACATTTTATTTTATTTTGGAGAAACTCAAATACTCCATTGAAAAGATACTATTAAATTATACACATTGAAATTACTTAGGTTCTTTAGTTATCGAATTTTTGGTGTTGAATATGGTTGGATATTTGCTGACAAAACCTGGCATTTGTTTTCACTTTTTATTAAAGTTGATTGACCTTTTTTTTCTTTTATTTCAACAGCTTGATGAAGTTGTGCGTCAGAGAAATCTGCATAGTTTGGAACTTTTCCTTTCATGTGCACAGAAACAGTTAAATGTTTTATTAAAGGAAGAGGCGACCCCAGAGGAAAAGAGAGACTGACATTCTCAGTGCTGATGATACAGTGTGATTTGTGAAGCTGCAAATCTCCGTCTAGTAAATGATGAATATATTCCAATCTTTTTAGATTGTATCATTGAGCCAAGATTGATCTGAAGTGCTTGATAGAAATGTTTGTGGATGATGTTCTTCTATTTATTTATTTATTTTACTACTATTATCAGATAGCAAATATGAGAGGGGAAAAGATCCTTGGGAAAAAAATTGTTTTATTTAGGATTTTGCTTTCATGATATTTTCTAATAGCCCATGGTTGAAGTTCTAGATAACTGCAGTAATGATGAAAACATTTCCCTGTTATGTCTGTTTTAAATTTGGCACCATGGGTTAATGTGATTCACCATTATTTTTGGTATTTTAAAAAAACGGAGACAAACATTTAGTTGGTTATAGATACAATCCATCTCTATTTCCAAAGTATCTGCCCAAGTTCACTGCCTCAGCTGAGCTTGAGTAGCTTAGTATTCCCTATTGCTTTTGATGTATAACAGAAGAATCACTACTGAAACATAAGAGCATTGTCAGACATTTCTTAAGTCATTTATAAACAAATCCAGCTCTAGGAAAAGAAAAATTTAAAAACTAAACAATGCATCTGTTTAGGGTAGTGCAAAAAACATTGCCATGACCAATGTACGGTATGTATTTTATTTCTGTTTTACAGAGCTAGTTCAGTTCCAAAAGTCATTTGCTCATGAAATTACGATTAATGTGACTGACCTCAGTTTCAGGAAGAAGATGTATGTAATTATGTGGAGACTGATACTGCACTGCCTCAGTGGAATTTCTGACAGAATAAGGAGTGCAGCTTGCTGACCTCACATGCCCTTTCTAAGTGCATGGAAGGAAGTAGAAAAACTCCCCACTGACATTATTGGACTTTGGATCACTCATAGGTCTTTCTAGTCTTGCTAACAGCAGATGGAATGGAATTTCTGTGCCTACACTCTGTTGATTGTAGAACTTGGGCCTTAGTTGTAGAAGAGCTCGGAATAAAGTAAGGGAAAATAAGTGTTTGTGCTTAGGTGTGTAAATAAACTTAGAATGATCTCTCCAATGGTGAGCTTATGGGCAGTTTTTAAGTGTGGGTCTTGTTATTTGGATATGGTTTGGGGTTTTTTTTAGCTGATTTTTTTTATCAGCACTTTTCATAAATTGCTTTCTTATAGTAATAAGGAACACCAAATGGTTACATATCTATTTGGCAGTACCAAATATATATTGCAGAAAGTTAAGGTTTTTATTTAAATCTTTTTCCATGCTTCATTTTTGTAATCAAGCCCAAAGGTTTTGTCTTTTGTATACACAAAGGTTCAGAAGAAGTAAACAGTCCTGGTTTTACTAGATGGTAAACTTACCCTGCAAATGGATTAAAATCCAGTCTTCTATTTGATACTTGATTGACTGATCAATTTCCATTTTTTTCTGGCAGACAAGAAAATCCTTTACTGTTAACGAGTTGCCTACTCATTTTCTGTTCCTAAACCAGTGAAATTTTTGTCTCTGTAACTGCACCAAACATGACATAGGTGTCCCCATGGGGTTTTTTTGAATGTTGAGGTACTGTAAAAGGAAATTGATTGCCTAGTGCTTTCTCACAGGGTGTGTTTAATCGTGGAAATCTGGTATGAATGGAACTAAATTAACTTCTTGGTTTTTTTCTAGGCCTGCATGTGAAAGAATATTCCTTTTTTACTAGAGACATCCAAATGTTCCCCTTCAAAGTCAGAGCCTTAGGTGTCTATCAGCCTTTTCTTATAAAGAGATTTGTATTCATACTTGCAACACTATGTAAAAGCACTTTTTGGAGAAGCTTATGATTGGAGTCAGTAAGATGAAGATGCCAGTTTCACTGGCAACTGTGATGTATTTTTCCTATTGGATCATGTGTTACTTAATTTCAGCTCTTGAATATTGTGATGGTCACAGAGAACCGTACAATTTTTTTTTTTTCACCTCTGACAGCTTTCATCTTTGATCTTCCTCTCTACCCTGCAAGCAAAATTACAGACTAGACCACAGACATGCAAGACCAGATTGGGAGCTGGGGTTACATGCAAGACTCCAAGTCTCAGAGAAGAAATCTACTTATACAGCAAAACCAGACCTATTCATTAGGTGAACTTTGCAGCATAGTATAACTTCCATCTTCTCCATACTGCATCCAAAGCTTTAAAGCTTAGGGATGTTTTTCATTATTTCTATCTAACCATAGGAGAATGCAGTTTGTGGAAATTTGGGAGAAGGGAGTCATAGAATTGTAGAATGGCCTGGATTGGAAGAGGTCTTAAAGCCCATCCAGTTCCAACCCCCTGCCAGGGCAGGGACACCTTCCACTATCCCAGGTTGCTCAGAGCCCCATCCAGCCTGGCCTGGAACACTGCCAGGGATGGGGCAGCCACAGCTTCTCTGGGAAACCTGTGCCAGGACCTCACCACCCTCACAGAAAGGAATTCTTTCCTATTATCCAATCTGAGCCCATTCTCTTTCAGTTTAAAGCCAGGGACAAGTTTGCAAAATCTGTTCTGGCTCTTGGAAGTTGACATCACATTTCTTTTTAATTCTTTTTTTATTCCTACATACAAACTGGAGAATGATATCAAAGAGAAAATAGCATGTATGTCTGCAGGGTATAACTTTATCTCTGAGGCCTGTCTGGTAGCGTTAAATTTTGGCGAGACTGTACTGGAAGGAACAAGAAACCCTGGAACTAATTCTCAGAATCAAAATGCAAGAACAAGAACATCAACAAAGCTTATATAATAAATATTTTATCTATATAGTCATATACTTCATATTAGAAATAAGACATAAATCTTGTTATATAAAGACATGGGTTGAACAGTCTGTTGCATGTATCAGAAGTGAGTTTAAAAGCAGGGCAACAATAGATCCAGTGTTTAAACTTATGTCTTTACTTAGTCAGGCCTACTCTATTTTAACACTTTTATTTCATGGTCTAGAACTGCTCAGTTCTAGACCATGTGATTTGTGTGATTTGCAGTCAGTTTACACAGAGTTAATACTGAATATTATGGCATCCTACTGTCCAACTCATTTGTGTTAGATTTCTGTTGGCTCCTTATCTGCTTCCACTACAGGATTCTGGATTGGCTCTGAGACCACGTGTGCAAGTAATGCACAAAAGGGAATGGGCAACGTGGTTTTTTGTATACTGTCAATACTTAAGAAATGGGAATATTTGAATTATTGCTTTACTGTAAGAATCTCATCGACAAATTACCCTTGAATTCCTTGAAGCATTGAATTCCTTCATTCCATCATTAGGTGGCAGAACAAAGAAAAAGCAGTAGTCATTCCAGAAGCTGAGATCACTTTAGTAATTTGAATTTTTTGTGCATCTTTACATTGGCTTCTGACCAGAAGTGTGTCATGTCCTGCCAGCTCAGTAAATGGCGAGGCTAATTCCTGACTGTCTGAAATTACCCGTGCAGACATGACCTTAGAGAGCCTAATTCCTTTTCACACCAAAACTTCCCTGCAATACTCAAGACCTTGCTCTTTCTCTATTTCCCATGCCCACGTTTGAGCTTACAGATTTTTCCCTACCCCTTGGATGAAGGGAACATGTGATGAGATTTTGTCTTGTTTCCTGGAAGGAATTAGCCACCAATAGAAATTGTTTATCAGGGGGACTCATATAATTTATGCTTACTTTCAGATTACATACAGTGTCATTGTGTCATCAAATGGACTTAGTTTAGGTACCTTAAACTCCATTGCAGGAGTGATTTAATGTGTGGATGAGATTGTCTTAAATTTTTTGTACATGGACAGCCTGAATTAATGTATAGAAAGATTTTCTAACATCTGTGGCATTCTTTTTTCATCAATGGTCCATAAATGTGCCAAAGAAACACTGGACTGGAAAACAATTTTTACATGGGTACAATTCAATGTTCTTGCGGGAACTGAAAAAAAAAAAAAGTTTTTCCTTTTCTGTGCTCTGTCCAAGAACATTGTTCTTCTGAGGCTTCAAGAAAATTCATTTGCTACCATTGTTTTCATTGTTTATTAATTTTAAAGCCCATGTACAGCAACTAATAGTCCTACTGAATTAGAGTCATATTTGAACAGTAGAACATCACAGAAAAACCACCCAAGTTGCACTATCAAGTTTTATGTTTGCTGAGTTGCTCAGGTTTTGTATTTGTTTCACCTTTCAGTGATAAATCATTCTTGTGATAATAATTATAATTATAGTTATTATCCTATGATAGTAGCAAAAATAGTAACAGTATTTTTTCTGTGCTAGATGTGATCCTGATATTTTATCCATGTCTTAAATGCTGTGTAATTATAACCATTTTAATATGTATTAGAGATTCACATTTCCTTATATTGCCTGTAATTCCTCACATTTCAGACTTACACAACCAGCATTTTTTAGATGCTTTCCGTTGTCCAGAATGAATAATACAATGCACAAACTATTACTGAGTAAACATTCAAACTATTCTTTTTTTTTCAGATAACAATTTTAAACAGTATATCAGTGAACACATGTAAAACAATGAGATGTTTATTAATATATATATCCTAAAAATATGATTCCCAGCAAAATGCTGCAAATTTCTCTTTTTTTTTCGAATTTGATAGTGAGTCTGTAGTAATAGCTATAGAATGCTATCAGAAGTCAAATCATTTGCATTTGTCTTCTTCCTTCAAGTTAAAATATTTTGTCTTCTCTCAAAAGCCAAGGTGAATGGCATTCTTTTTTCAGCAATGTTCCATTGATGGTCTTCAAATGCCTCTCTGCATTTAAAAAGAAACTTGTCCTAACTCACCCCCTCTACACAATGCTGTGGGAGTCTCTTTAACCCAGGGAGAAACAGAACTGTTTTTGCTGGATGAACTTTGAAGGATGTTCCAGTTCTTACACTACTACCAAATTAGGGCACTGTTTAAGTGTTCACGTCAATCTTGCTGCATAAATTTTCCAGAAAATGACTGGTCATGGTGATGCATGGTCAGTCTCTATTTTTGTGGCAATAATTTTAAAAATTCCATTACTTGAGCATCTCAGTCTTTTATTATGATAATAGATCACATATTTAGAGCATGATTGGGAAGTGCTGGCTCCCGGGAAGTCAGGAAGAATTCTGCTGTTGGTAATTTGCAGCTCAAAATGTCTTCCACATTTCTTGCATTTGTGACCACAATGAATATAAAACACACAGGTTTGTCTTTGCATGGTTCTAGAAATATAGCAAGAAATCAAGAGCAGGTTTTGTGATCAGCTCTTTGAAGAAAGTGTCAGCACTTGTTCTGCTGGTGGTGTCCTGGAGAAGGGGGATTAGCTGTTGTCTGGAGATGTTGGTGAGGGAAAAACTTGTGTCTCATTATTGCTCTACTGCTAAGAATGTCTCATCTCAGAAAATAATATGGCATGAGAATTTGTACTTCGAAATTATATCCAAAACCCTAAAATAAAATAAAAATTAATTAAATCAGATTTTAAAATCTAGGTTTATGCTTTTTAAAACTCAGAAGCATTGCAAGACTGACATGTTGACACCCAAATATATTAGTCTGACAAATGTCAGTGTTTCCTGAGCATCCTGAGCAAAATGCTTTAGGAGATTCTCTGGAGCTTGTTTGAGGTACAACTGAATCAGGATGGTGAACATATTATTGCTTTGTTGCCACACTAGTGTGAAAAACAAAGTTATATACACAATGGAGAAGTCTGCCAAATAAAATGGAAGAGGATCCAGATGTTGTGTCCAATGATAATGTGTCATCTAATCATCTTCTTGGGAATCAGAAATGTGTTTGCTTCTCGGATTAAATAATTTTTCACTTGCAGAGATTGGAACAAAAATTCCTGTAAGCTCCAGACAGCAAGTGCAGAAAGGACTGATGGTTGCACAGGAATGACAACTCTACTCAGGAGAACACAGGTTATCACAAGGGTGAGCATGCTCAATTTGGCTATATCAATATGTAATATAAATGTCATGGTCACATGTGCACATTTTCAATGTGATTTTTCTTCAACAAATTTTTCAAAGAACAGGTGAGTTGAAGGCA